ACATTTCATTGCAATTTTCATATGGATACCTGGCGCTTTCATTGGATATTTCATTGTTAGCCCCAGGATATTTCATTGTGCTTTTCATCTGAATGCCTGGTGCTTTCAATGGATATTTCATTCTTGTTCCTAGGATATTTCATTGCACTTTTCATAGATATACCTGGTGCTTTCATTGGATATTTCATTGCTAAACCCAGGATATCTCATTGTGCTTCTCATTTGGATGCCTGGCGCTTTCAATGGATATTTCATTCTTATTCCTAGGAGATTTCCTTGCACTTTTCATATGTGTACCTGGCGCTTTCTATGAATATTTCATTTTTAGCGGCAGCTGACCTTTCAGGGTCCAGGGTGCATTTCCAAATGTAAAATAGCAATAAAATCAGGAAAAATTAGGGCTCATTGCTGATCATCATGTTGGGTAACATTGTCAGGGTCCAGGATCCAGTTTCAAATATGGTAATATATCCAAAAATAGCCAGAAAAATAGCGGAAAAATTGAATATATATAAAAATGGTGTACAGAACATCAGGCACTGCCTTCAGGGTCCACTTCAGGTTCCATCCCAAAAGGGAAATATCACCTGGTTTGACCAAAAAGTGAATAAAACCAAGCAGAGAATGATTTTACCTATCAGGGTCCATGTAATGGGATGTTGGGATGATGGTCACATGACCAATTACCAAAAATGGTCAAAAACAAAAGTTGTAGCCCTACACTGTAGCTTCCTGAATCTGTTCAAATTATGTTCTGAAGTGCTCCCATTGTGGAGATATGAGGTAAAGGAATCCCAAAAGTGTCGTGTTTTTTTTTTTTTTTTTGCATTTTTTTCCATGAAAACAAAACCAAACAATATGATTTCAGTATATTTAGAAGGCTAAAAGAAAGGGCTACAACTATTGTATTGTGGGAAAAATGACCAAAAAAGGAAGGTGCATGCCCTAGAAAAGGAATGGTCAGATATAGACTACCAAGTTTACTGATAGACTACAAAAAAGTCAGACTCAACTACAAAGTTTACTGATAGACTACATAAGACTACAAAAGTCGGACATAGACTACAAATTTTACTGATACACTACAAAAGACTACAAAAGTTGGACTTAGACTACAAAGTTAGGGTTAGGGCTAAAAGGTTATCCAAAGTCAACCTAGCCCATCCATCCCATACATGGCACATATTTGATGGGGAAATGGCTGGGGAATATACGGATACATTGCAGGGACTCTATTCCATGTCTGGTTTGAGGAATCATATGCAAAAGAGAGCATGAGAGCCTTTAGAAAAGGCACTTTTTTAGACTACAAAAGTTTGTAGTGTCTGCTTTTGTCATCAGAAAAGTTTGTAGTGTCTGCTTTTTTATTGGAAAAGTTTGTAGTGTCTGCTTTTTCATTTGAAAAAGTGTGTAGTGTCCGCTTTTTTAGACTACAAAACTTTGTAGTGTGCGCTTTTTCATTAGAAAAGTTTGTAGTGTCTGCTTTTTGAGACTACAAAAGTTTGTAGTACATGTAGGTTATGGTGTCCTTGGCCCTGTCTAGGTTATGGGGATGAGGTTGAAGGATTGACATGATCTTACATATTGCCAGTGCTGCAGCATTAGTTTTTGACATCATGCACAAGTTGTCGTTCACATTAGGAAAGGCTATTCTAAGCTTTTCATATTGATACCTACTGTCCTATCTCAAAACTGATCTGCTGAGTTGACAAAAAATCAGCCCTCTATGTAGATATATATGCACAAGAATATGTGTATACATGGATACATGAATAGTGGATGACTTTCCATAAGCTTTTATTCAAGGGAATAGATTATTTCTTGATATCTTGGCTCTGTTGCTGTGTTGCGGGGCCAAATGGGGATGAAAAATATTATTCATGCCTGTTTTTATGTCTCAATAAACCTTAATCTGTTCATAGGGTCAGACCCCTCTTCATAGATTAAACCTGCTGGAATAAATGAGAATAAACAGTCCCTGGGCCTCATCCTCTCTCCTCATTGGCTGATCATTGATGCTGTTCGCTGCTCCTCTTCCACACATCCTGCCCAACTCCCTCCTCCCATAAAAACAACCTTCTATTGTATTGTAAATGATAGCCTGTCTACATCAGGCACTGTAAACATTGTAATTAACTGCAGAGTACCATGCAGCACAAAGTATTGGGAACGGAATGATAAATATAATCATTTTGCTTGTGGAATGTCAACTTGAATAGATTAATCAATTAAAGTTACCTTTGATCTCTGATGCACCACCAAAATATGATATGTAGGATTAAAAACCTTACAGAAAGTCATCCAGTACAAGAATACAAGAATATGAGTATACATGGATACATATATACAAGAATATGCATATGCATGAATACAAGAATAGACATATATCTATATGTATACATGGATACATGAATCCAAGAATATGCATATGCATGAATACAAGAATAGACATATATCTATATGTATACATGGATACATGAATCCAAGAATATGCATATACATGAATACAAGAATACACATATACATGGATACAAGGATACATATATTCATGACAAGGGGGCCCAGGGATTTCAGAAACAACACAGGGTAGATTTTTTTTTGTAAGCTGTCTGTGATGTCCCTCCCCATCACTCCTTCTAAATAAGGTATGTTTTCATCCAAAAAGGGTATGTTTTCCCCACTGCTCCTCTGAAGAAATTTCTGGCTGGTGGGCCATAAGCATGTGAACCTTAAAATGAATTGCTGCTCCCTTTTCAGGTGTAAAAATCCAGCTTTTTTCACATTTACTTTTGCCATGCAAGTTGCATGCAAGACTGAGCTGAGCAAGAAAAGTGGGAGGGATGACAGATTTTTCATTTCCCTTACACACTGACTTCCATTGTAAGGTATTAACCATTCAACTGCATTGGAGGTGCCACTGATGCATCCAGCATTGCTACATGGCCCCGGGTGTAGATTTTCGAAGCTTATATACTAAATTTTTTTAAGGCCTGCCAGAGGTCTCCCCCCCCACCTACCTCGGGTCACGGGTTGACATCCCAGGGCCCCCTTGATTCATGAATACATGAATACAAGAATACACATATCCAAGGTATACATATATATGTATCCTTGCATTCATGTACCCACATTATACATATATGCATATTCTTGTATGCAGGTATCCATCTATATGCATATCCTTGTATTGGGTATCCTTGTATACACATAGCCATGTGTTCATATATGCATACTCTTGTATTCATGTATCTGTGTATACTGGCATGCGAAAAGAATGGACCACAGTCCAATTTCTGCCATTTTGGTTCTCGCAAATGGCAAACATGATGCGCACATGCAAATCCTTTATAATATATTACATGCAGATATTGGTGTTTAGCAGCATGAGTTTTGGAAAAATCAGTGGACATGTGGATGAGAAATTACCTCAGAAAATTGTTGTATCATGTTGTCACATTGGCCCTGGAAGCAAAGAAGCACAAAACATCATAATTAAAACACACAAGAGCCCCAGGATGTATCTAGAAGATTAATAATGAGTGTACAATTCTTTTGCTACCTTAAGAGCTAAGATCCAAGCAGGAATTGAGTTATAAATAGGTTTAAAAGTCCGGTCTGGTCCGGTTTTTTGATGCCCTGGGCCTTAACTGTAACCATAACTGGTCCACATTTTTCCCAGAAGTCAAAAGACCGAACCGGACCACATAAAACCGCAGTCTGCGGTCTTTTTGCAGTCTATAGACTGGTCTTGGTCTTCTTCGGTTTTAACCGGTTTAAAACCGGTTTTATGGCCGATATTTTAAAATTATGAATGGGTAAATTTGTTAACGTGTTTCGTAGCTTTAAGAAGAGCCCAAGAACGTCAAATCCCGTTGAGAATTGGTGTTTCTATAAAAAAAGTCTTGTACATCTACTATTTTTAACGAAATTTTACATTTTTATTTATATCTTTGTCAATTCTGAACCAATTAATACGTGCTTGGGTGCGTTTTGAAGGGTATTTAGTGGGCTACAAAAATCCGGTCCTAACCGGTCCATTTAGACCGGTTTTCTTGCGGTCTTTAGTTCTCAAAAATCAAAAAACCGGACTGCAGGTCCAGTTTTTTGTGGTCTTGGTCCGGTCTGGTTATGGTCTTTTTCCAGTCACAAGACTGGACTCCCAAACACTAGTTATAAAGCTTACAGATGTACCAAAGGTCCAATTTCTCCCACTCCTCCTTGAAAGCCTCCCATAATTCATGGACATTATGAGGGGATTGCGCGCATGTAGTCATCAATCTAATGCATCCCAGGCATGCTCTGTAATTTTTTAGTCTGGTGATGATGGCACCCAGGGGAGAACCCGGATTTTGTGGTTGAGGAACCATTGGGTTGCCATCTTTGAGGTGTGTTTCAGGTTGTTATCCTGCTGGAAAATGACCTTTTGGGGGTTGCAATTTTAAAATGGGTATACCAACTCCAATGATAAGAAGAATTGTAGTTATATGATAAGGTAGCAGACAGCCATACCTTGCTAACGTCACATGATCTATCCCAAAACGGACATTTTTTCTTCTCATATATTTAGCACGCATTATTTAGCAAATCATTTAAAATCTGGGCCAAGAACTTTGCTTCGCCTTTCCAATGTAATTATGCTGATAATTAATACAGTTACCATACTGTATCATATATAGGATGCACTGGCTGAGAATATAACTTCTCAGTTATTCTGCCTTTTGGCTTAGGTGGTTTCCTGGCTTATGGCAAAGCTGGCTAGGGAATGGATACTGTTAGTTAAACACTTCAAGGTGGCATAGCATTCTTCCTGGCTCATTATGCTGGTGTTTAAAATTGATGGGTTAACAAGCTTCTGTAGCAAGAGGGTGAAACAATGAACAAGGGTGTAATCAAAGTATTGCCCATATCTATGTTAAAAACATGCTGCAAGCATATGCAAAGTATGAGCAAAGTGGGACTGAGTAAGAGATCTTTAGTCACTCCAAAAAATAGAGACCAAAGATGAATGACTTACACAAAGATAATCATTTTCTTCTCAACTGCAATTATATTCTCAAGAATATCATACACTGCCTGGAACTTGCTAGAGATGTAAGAAATCTCCAGGTGGTGACTGAAGATATCCTTGACACTCTGAGGAAGCTGACAGGGAAACTGTTCAGCACTGATGAGTGGCTGAGGTCAGTGCAGATTGACAAGTCATCAAAACTGGTATTGTCAGCAAAGTTGATTGATAAATAAAACCTGAATGATCACCTTGCATGTGTCTCATCTGAAGTCAGGTCTGGGTCCAAAGAAGGATCCCTCGCCAGAGGCAAAAAATCAAGGAATTCATCATCCACAGAAATATCTGTGAGAAGTGGCAGTGATCCAGCCAATAACTGCATCTGGAAACAGACTAGCAAAGATAAATCATGTTAGGATTGCTAAGCATTCATGGTTAGAAATGATACATTCAATGTTTCACCACAAGGTACTCAAGTACGTGATTGTAATTTGTGTGTTTGACAGAATTCAAGGTTACAACAATGTCATGCCAGTACTTGTTATGTGGCCTCAAAAGCATTCTCCCATCACTTGTGTAAGGTGGCCTATATTTCATTACCTTTGATGACATCCTAAGAATGAAGACATATTAGAAAAATCAACAATACTCAGTTGTGGAATTTGTGTTGCTTTCGCAATCAGCCTTTTGTTAGTGCTGCTCAACAGTTTCATGACATATTGGTCAAAGTGTTCCAGATCCTCCAGATTCATGTATTTAACCCTCAGCAACCATAAATAGGCATATAAATCACACAAACTGTTCTGTTGGAACACAGAACTGAGCTTCATGATCCAAGCATTACATGTTTAATGTACCTGAGCAGATGTTGCTGTGATGATAACCATGAATTGTGTTGGTTGGAACACAGCAAGGCCTTTTGACTCTGGGTTCTGCATAAATAAGGTGACCCTCATCTGGAAACCAAAGATGTTAGCAAATGCATACATGTTTAAACCATCAAGTTTACTGCCAATTCTAGGTGATTTTGGAGTCACAACAGTACATGACTTTATGTACCTCAGGTTTCCTAAAAGCCCATATCTGTACCCATCAAAACCTGTACTTTTGGGTGTGTGTGTGTGGGTTCAACGGCTTGGCTCAGCTTATAAGCTTTGAGCTGCTGAGCTGAGCTCTATTTTAAGCCAATTGAGCTGATAGAAACCTTGCAAGGGCAGTGCGAGTATCAATGGACATGACCCTGCAGCCAATGAATAGCATTCATTGAATTTGCCACCAAGAATAGAGGTTCATCATGCAATGTGCAAAGCTCTCTGTTGTTTGCTCCCCAATGGATCTCCTCCTACCCTGAAAAAGGTTTTTCTCACTAAAGCAAACTTGAATTTAAATTTACCAGAAACGTCTGATAGCTTGATGTCAAAAATCTATGAAAAATAGATAAATACAAACCTCATTATGGTGAATTGGGCTCTGTCATCTCTCAAGAGGTGGATGAGGGTGTTTATCCTGACAATATGCCTTTGTACACTGATCTCTGATTTTTTTTTACATTGACACTCATTTCTCCCCTTCTTTGAGAACACCAGCTAGACCTCGACCCTCTCAGACTCTTCTGACAGGCTATCCAACACCCTAGTCTATTTCCTGGCCCAGTCTTTCCATGTGCTATGCTATGATGCCTGCACTCACATTGACTGTGATACACAATGACAATGATATAATGATTGTTGATGAACCTCAAGGCCCTGCAAACAATGAACTTGAACGAAATGAGAGGACCAATGACTTGAATTTGAAGGTGAGGGTTCCATTTTTTCTTGTCATTCTGGAGCTCATTGAATCTCTCCAAAAACTGTGAGTTTGAGAAAAAAAATCACCCCTCACAGCAGAGTTCTCTTGTGTTGTTAGGAAGTTTGATCCTTTTGGTTTAACCATTTCTGACTTGGGCCATCATTACATCTGACAGAAGGAAAAGGCAGTAAGGAAATCAATTTGGTCCTAATCTTTTAAATTCTCAATTTGGGTACTTGTCTTTGGCAGATTCAAGCGCTTTTGAGGAAACAGAAAAGAGGTAGGTTTTATAGACTTGCTAATGATGTTCATGCTGAGTGTAACTATAGATTCAATGGATGTAGAGGTACTGGAATTTGAGGATCTGAAAGGCCACTTATGGGAATTGTCAGAAAGGTTGATGAGTAGATGGTTGCTTGTGAGGTGAGTGGAGATTGATCATCAAAGTTGATGAGTAAATGACACTTTGATGATCATTTGGGGTGTGTGTGTGGGTTTTTGTGGGTATGGGTACAGGTAATGCTAGGAATATCCCAAGTCACCTGTGACAATCCCTAGATTTGAGGATCTGCAGATATTAGGATCTGTGGATTTGTGGATGTAAAATGGTTGATTGCCTGATCCAAGAATCCAAGGATGTAGAGATCCAAAGATCCTGGGTCTAGAGATCCAAAGATCCAGAGATCTGTGAATCCATGGATGTAGAGATACTGGGATCTGAGTATGTGTGAATGTAGACATCTGAAGATCAAAGGATCTATGGATGTAGATCTTGAGATCCAAAAATAGGAATCTGTGGACCCATAACTTTAGAGATACTAGGATCTGAGGATCTGCAGATATCAGAGATGTAGAAGTATATATGAAGATCAGAACACTGTGCACCCTAGAATAGATTAGATTTCCTAGGTCACCAGGGTTTTTTGACTAATCACCAGGTTGACAGGTACTAAACAGGTTATCCAAGACAGGTTCTTTTTTGCCTTGTTTAACAGGTAAAATTCACCTTTTTCTCAAACACCAAATTTTACCTAGTTATTTTTACTCATTATATTTTTAACTGAAGTTAAAAAGACCATGTTGCCAAACATCAAATTCAAGAGTTTGTTACCAGGTCATTTTGACTTGTTTCTCTGGTGAATGCATTTCAATCTCATTTTTGCTATGCAGATAAGTGAGAAAAATGACATTGTATGGTATGCAATTTTGCAGAGCAAAACACCACCAATGTATATGGGTGCACTCAAATTGAGCTATATATTGTATGAGTTGCTTGACTTATAGCAATCCTTGATGGCTGAGTGGCAGACATTTCACTCAGCATCTGACAGCACACAATGGCGAGAATGTCAGCCGGGATCCTTCGAATAGGCGACGGGGTGAAAATCACTCACAGAGATTCGAGGGGGCTTTTTGGAATGATTGAGGATATAATGGAAAATGAAGCTGTTGTTTCTTTAACGATGGAGGATGTAACAATCACTGTACCCTTTTCGTCCCTTCGAAAAGATCTCAAAGTAGGAGACAAAGTCTGCATTCTTTTGGGAGACCACGAAGGTGTTACGGGTTGGGTAGTGAATCAAGACGAGGACTATGTGTGCATCTTCAATGACAGGACTGGTACAGAGGTAAATGTCTTGCTTTTTGTTATATTATACTTCTTCTAACATTCTGTCATCCTTTAGATAGAGGTATCTCCAGGAATTGTCCAGTTCTTCACCTCCCCCTTTGTCTTTGGAACAGAGTCCTCAGAATTGAAAGCTCCCTTCTCAGATGCGCAAAAGCATGTCATGAAGGGGGACTCTAACAGTCATCTTGTAGGAAAACAAGTAATGGTCACCAAGGGGGATTTTAGAGGTTACTGAGGCAGAATCAAAAGCACGGTTGGTGAAAAAAGGGTCTTGGTCAAGCTCGAGGCCAATGCCCACAAGTTTTTGACATTAGTTCTCTAAAAATCATGCAAGTGCTTTATCTTATTTTTTGAAATTGTTGCTAATCAGCTTCCAGCGCCAACGAAAGGCTTCAGCCACCCAGGCCTTGAGAGCTTCTCACCGATTTTACTTACCCACTCGAGCCAGCACCTCCGCCCAGTACTCTGGCAGGCTTCTTGTTCCCTGATTACCCCTTGCCAGATCCGCAACCATCAGTCCCTTATCCTGCTGCTTTCCTTGTGCAGACTCCGGCCATTGCAGGGCCATCTACTCTGCTTCCTAACTCAGAAGATATCCCTACAACCCCAGCTTGGAACCCAAGCTCACGAACCCCCCACCGTGGCGATGATGGTAAGTATGTATTTAATTCAAAGTCAATAGATACTGAGGCCGTTATGGCAGCCACTTCTCCATATTGGCTCAGAGATGACTGCTTCACCAACATGAGGCTGAGCCTTCGTCTCATCAACACCAACCCTAATTTCCATAGGGGCAAGCACGAATATAAGTGCGGTGAGTTCAAGGGAGTAGTCGGAGATGCAGTGAGGGTCCAGCTCAGTTTCAAAATTTTGGAAGTGCCATTTCCATATTTAATACCTGAAAGGCCAGAGTGCAAATCCCAGGTTGTTACCGTGTTTACCGGCCCACATAAGGGGTCACAGTTTAGGATCAAGGAGTTTGGCGCAGATTTTTGCAGCTGCTCGATTTTGAAATCAACAATGCTTTTGAGGAAGGTTGATGTCAAAATCACCACCAATCAACCGGTAGTCACCGCCCAAGACAGTCAGCAATAAATTACCTATACTGTAGATATATTATAAATACCTTAGAAACTTTTTTTGTATGTTATACGCATATCTTGGTGATAATCTACATATTTTTGACCTTAATGCGAGACCTTGAGGCAAACAAACAATGACTTAATGAATAAACTTAGGATGAAATCCTTTGTTATGTATTCTTAAAACAACTTGGAAATATTGCATGTAATTTTTACGTGTGACTTAGTGACATGGACCATGATCCGCCCAAAGAAAAAAGTGGATACATGAATACAGTTGAACCTCTCTTATCCCATACCTCTGAGAACCCATAACCTCTCTTATCCCATAGCATTTTGCATCCAACAAGTTCCCATACCCCATACCCCATACCCCTCCCCAGCCAAAACCCATAGGTTTTTTGTCAGACAGACCCTTCAATTGGCTGTTAAATATTTAGTTTACCAAGCACAGATATGCATGTGCTTGTCAAGTAGCTCAAAATTAAATAAAAGAAGCTTCTACTCCCAAAAATATTCCCCCTATGCCTCCCAACCCACATGACACCCTTAGAAAAGGCCTTGTGACACTATGTCCAATCACACAGATATGGAAATCTATCAGAAGAGCTGCATGTGAGAATATTGAGATACTATATCTGGTCAGGATATGCAGATTCTTGACTTTTTCCTTGATCTAGCTTCAACATCATATTGTGCAGCCTAAAAAACTTACATTGAGTCTACCAGATACAATGAAGATGTGTTGCAGCCTCAGATCATTGCCAACATGAGGAGGCAAAAAAACAAGATATCCAAAGGTATGTCACAACCATGTCACTGAGGGATTTTGGTCAATGTGATAGTCTTCCAAGCACACACATTTTGTTCTCAAAATCAATTCTGATGACTTCTGCTGATCCCACTTGCCTGAAATTTTAAAGCTGTGCTTGGTGTTGGTATTAGACAGTATCTATGTAAAAAGAATTGGGAGTAAGTCTAGCACAGCAGGTGTTCCTGGCAGCCTTGTAACTACTTCAACCTATTTCCAACATTTTTTTGATGATTTTGTGCGATTTTTTCTCGTCAATTTTTAGAATCTATTTTTAACCATACCTCTATTAGCCCATAACCCATAGCTCAGGCTGTCCACTGAGGGGTATGGGTTAAGAGAGGTTTGACTGTACAACAATATGCATATATATGGATACATGGATACAAGAATATGGGTATATGTGGATACATGAATAAAAGGATAGGTGTATACATGGCTACACAAATACAAGCATATGTCTGTATTACTTTCATTTTGAGTATCTACAATATTGCACCAGAAGTGCCATGATGGATACATGTATATATACAGATATTCTTGTACTATGTATACATGTATTCTTATATTTATGTATACATGTATCCTTGTATTCATGCATCTTAGCAAGAGGTGTCAGATCCACCAATCACAGCCATCTATGCTGTTACACAAATGTGACAAGCGGCAATTTCCATAAGTCGGCACATCAGCGGCAATGATGGTCAGTGTCTTGTACATGTCAGTGTCTCAGCAGCTTTCATACAAACATCTAATTTATTCAGAAGGTAGCTCAATAACATTTGGAAAGAGTGGTTTGAATGGGGTGTTACAGTCATTACAATTAGAACTATTACACAAAGTTAAAGGAAGTTGACAAGACATCTGTTGTAGTGTGTGTGAGATAGGATGGTTACATACCAAGTGATTTGAATTACATCTGGCTTTTTCTTGAGCGGAAGATACATATGCAACTCCTGGCCATAATTGACAAATTCATTGCATCATGAGGAAAGAGTTTGACAGGTGCCCTTGGAAGCGCCTCCGATTTTCTTGAGAGGCTGATATTCTTTGTTGTAAGTCAATTGTAAGTTGTAAACAATTGATGAGAATTTGAAAGTGAAGGGCTATGTGCAGAGAAGAAAGATTGGGGGAGTACACTATTGACATTATCAATGCACCATGTATGTCGAGAAGGATGTGTCTTTAGTGGAGGCATGTTCGCGTTATGTTGGTGAGTTTGGAAGCAAATGCCGCTGGCCTGCTGTCTACCAAACATACCATGCAAAGTGCTCCCCTACCCTCCCCATCACATCATTGACAGCCAGGATCAGCGGATCTGACACCTCTTGCATCTTAGCTATTCTTGTATTTATGTATCCACATATATGTGTATTCTTGTATCCATGAATGTGTATCCACATATATCAGGTATCCATGTATATGTGTATCCTTGTATTCATGTATCCATGTATACACATATACTTGTATACTTGTATCTACATATACACATATGCTTGTATTCATGTATCCTTGTATCCATGCATACATGTATCCTTGTATTCACATATACACATTACACATATACATGTATCAAGTATCCTTGTATTCATGTGTTCATGTATTCATGTACCCTTGTATTCATGTATCCATGTACACATGTATCTGTATAAATACTAAATGAGTGTTAGATAAACTCAGTGTTTGTACACATATTCTTGTATTTATATATCCATGTATACAGTATTCTTGTATACATATATCCTCATTGAGGGCTGATTTTTGAAGTCATCCTGTCAACTCAGCAGATGAGCCATGCAGCAATAAGTATGTGCAACATTGAATCCATGCTTTTGATACTTTCACTGCATTCTCTTTGGCTGATCATCTTCAAGTGACATTTTCTGGACCTTACCATGGTGTTATGCTGCAGGATTGGACTGGGAAATTACAGTATCACATTGTTTGCACTGCTTTCTGCCATTCATTTTGAAGGCTTCAAGTGCATCAGGTGGGAGGGATGCATGGGCATGGACAAGAAGTTGATTCACAAATGAAAAGAATGAAAAAGCTACACAAAATGTTAACACTCTTGGCAATAATTCACTACCAAAATTTTGGACAACTTCTAATTGAGCAGTGTGCTTGGCTCATCTTGTTACGATATGGCTCGTAATCTTTGGTGTACTCCTATGAGTATACAAGTTGTCAGTAGAAATTGAATACAAATGAATAACTATCTGGGTTACCAAAGAAGACACGAGCAGGACTGTAGGGTTCTGTAAGTATCTTTGAAGTATTTTAGAGACTTTGAAACTGAGTAAGGAAATTGAGTACCAGACTGCTGAATGATTAGAGCGAGTCTTTAATTATATGTGATGTTAGTGTGAAGCATAACAATCTTAGGACAGCTTCAGACTGGGTAGCGTGAAGCCTTACCTGGTCCTACAAGAGTACTGCTTGTGCTTACAGCAGTTCTCAAATATGAGAGATAAAGTGGGGTAAAGTTAAGAGATGCCTCTCTTGCATTCAAAGAGGCAGTATTTATATACAAGGGATATTCTACACTATTTTACAATGTTCCAATGCCAGTGAGTTAGTATAACTTGCACATGAGTTCAGTTCAAGTTGTTTGGTTGCACCTTGCTTGCCAAACACCACTCATTCAAGTCAATACAAAGTCAGTACTAACTTCTAAGTATCAGAAGTAGAGGGCACAGACTCTAAGCTCATGCAAATGTCATGGTATGAGCAGAACACAACTACATGGATACAGAATATGCATATATATGGATACATGAATACAAGGATACATGTCTACATAAATACATAAATACAAGAATACGTGTATATGTGGATACGTGAATACAAACATATGTCTGTTTGTGTATTCTTGTATTTATATATATGTGTATTCTTGCATTCATGAATAGGATACATGTATTCTTATCTATTCTTGTATTTATGTATCCACATATATGTGTATTCTTGTATCCATGAATATGTATATCCATGTATATGTATATTCTTGCATCCATGAATATGTGTATCCTTGTATCCATATATCCATGTATCCATGTATCCATGTATATGCATATTCTTGTATGCAGGTATCCATGTATGTGGGTATCCTTGTATACGCATAGCTATGTATTCATGTATCCAACATATATGCATATTCTTGATGAATACATGTATACATGACATGGATATGTGTATACATCACATACATGTGGATACATGGATACAAGGATACATGGATACAAGGATACAAGGATACATGGATACATGGATACATGTATACATGGATACATGAATACATGAATACAAGAATACACATATATGTGGATACATGAATACACATGTATACAGGGATACCACATATACAATAATGAGCTCAAGTGGAGAATCCTGAATTGAACAAGATCTGCT